TATATATATATATATATAGCGAAACTTAGTACTAAGAAATCTGTCACTATTGCAAAAAACTAGTTGACTGGATTTGGTATGATACGATGTCGTTGGAGATTTTCCCTACAAAAAGTTATTTTATTCAATTTATATGGAGGCTGGGTGGCTTAATAGTAGATAGGATCTCTGACACGGATGTTGCTGATAGGACAGGGGGCAATTATTAGTAAGGGATCATATACCATTAATACTTTAATACTATACTGATGAGAGCGATTCCAATACTCCTAATCTGAAATATGAGCATTGCAAAAATATAACACGATTAATCAACAATTCCTAAACATTTCAGCAGTTTTTATGCCAAACAGAAAAGCGAACGACTCAGCAAATAATTTAAATTTTATTCCCTAGAGCCAAAAGACTAAGGACATCCGTCATTCTAAACGGTTTTCAATTAGTTATATGACTTTCCATTTCGAAGAAAAAGTCGGTTGGAAGGAATTCTAGAAATCGTCTTATCAAAAACTGAATAATTAATGCGGAGTGAAGATTGATTGATAGATTGTGCGAAGAAATCCTCAGCCCACCGTCCTACGACCTCGATGAACTTATTCAAAACTTTAGTCTATACTGTGGCAGACATCAATCTGCCCTATCTATAAGAATGAACGTTAGGCATTACATACCAAAAAAATCACTGAATCCCTCACTAAGATAGCAAAGTTAGGTATAGAAAGTCAGTTGATTGCTCGGGCCATCCTTAATTTCGTGGGATATTGTATTATGTGATTTGTTCGTAAAGTATGGTTTCTTCCACAAAATATGTCAGTTCAAAGGTCCATCGATGTCGTGAAATCCTTGCGCAATCCACCAATCTTGACTTCGCGACAATCCAGTTTCGTAGAAGTGGTTTGACCTTGGTCTTGCAACTTGGTCATATTAGCAGGAAGGCCTAGAGGAACGCATCTTGTCCGGAATACATAGTACGCATGAGCATTTCCAGAGTCGGACCGTAGATTTGGTACATTCCCAGATGTTTCGCCGGCATCGTAGTCGGCATCATCAGTAAGTCTTGCCATTCTTAGCAAACCAAGCTACAACTCGTCAAATAGACAAGTGAAGTTAATCCTTTGACCAACTTTCTATCTAGACGATTATCCTATCACTGCTCGTTTTATCTTGTTCCGCCCTCGTCCTATAATAACTTCTGGAACCGAGGGAAATAGGTCAATCTGAAAGATAAGAAACGGACACATGGGCATATGAGGCAGATCTGGACAGGAGACTAGAGCAGGGTAAGCTACTCGAATGGGATGGGAGCAAGGCAAACAGCAGGTGTGATTACGCCATGGTAAATTCGCAAAAATGGCATATTTCTTGAGTGCGTTTCATATTTACATCTCTACCGAACTTATTACCTTCTTTGCTTATGCATGTTAGAAATTGTGATAGGACGAGGAAGAGACTAGAGAGTAGGAAGTTGATAGAGGGACCAGGACAAAACGAAGAGTGATAGCATAATCGTTTCGATAGAAAGTTGATCAAGGAATTGGCTTTACTTGACTTTTTTGATGAGTTATAGCTTGGTTTGCTGAGAATGGCAAGACTTACTGATGATTCCAACAACAAAGCCGGTGAAAAGTCTGGGAATGTACCAAGTCCACGGTCCGACTCTTGAAATAATCATGCATACTATGGACTCCGGACAAGGTGCCTTCCTCTATGTCTTTCTATGTCCTGTTAATATGACCAAGTTGTGAAAGTAAGGTCAAAAAACTTCTACAGAATAGATCCTACCATTAGGATAAGGTTAATGAGTATCTCAACCAGGCTTCCATTCAGAAACGAAGTGAGACTTATGATACGGAGAGGAATAAGCTATTTAAGTTTATAGATATTAAGTCAAAGCTCTGGCATGATCTGGCCAGGATCCTGATTCCGAAAGCCTTTCAAAAGCTCCAGAGCATGACCGAAAGGAAATCACGTGGGATCTCTGATTTAATAACAAAATTACAAGACGGTAAATTGCGTACGTTTGGGATCATAAGGCGGCCTAAGTTAACCCAGTGCGCCCAGTTGAAGTTGAAGTAAATTGATTACTCGGGCCACCCTTAATTTCGTGGGATATTGTATTTTGTGCTTTTTTCGTAACATATGGTTTCTCCCAGTAAATATGTCAGTTCACAGGTCCATCGATGCCGCGGACATTCTTGCGCAATCCACCAATCTTGAATTCGCGACAATCCAGTTTCGTATAAGTGGTTTGACCTTGGTCTTGTAACTTGGTCATATTAGCAGGAAGGCCTAGAGGAACGCATCTTGTCCGGAATACATAGCACGCATGAGCATTTCCAGAGTAGGACCGTAGACTTGGTATATTCCCAGATGTTTCGCCGGCATCGTAGTCCGCATCATCAGTGAGTCTTGCGATTCTCAGCAAATCAAGCTACAACGCGTCAGATACAAGTAAAGTCAAACCCTTGACAAACTTTCAGTCGAAACGGTTATGTTATCACTCCTCGTTCTGTCCTGGTCTCCCTATCCATTTAATACACCCTAGTCTCACCCTCTTTCTATCACAACTTCTGACATATTTATATTCTACAAGATATATGCCCTTTTAGCGAATTTACTGTAACGTCATCACAATTACTGTTTGCCTCCTCCCCTCCCTTTAGAGTGGCTGATCCTGCTCTAGTCTTCATTCCTGATCTGCCTCATGGGCCCGTGGGTCCGCTTATTATTTTTCTGGTCGACTGATTTCACTCGGTTACAGCCCCAGTGTTCTTTTACTCTGAATGCTATTTGTCAATTCCTCAGTAGCGTGTACAAAGTCGCTTTATTTACAGAGAACCTAGGCTCTGATTCACATGCCTGCGGATATTAGGCCTTACCTTTAAGTAGCTTCTTCTCTATTAAGCCCATGTATCCTAGGAAAACTGTGGACATCTATCTCTGGTCACCTGCTGCATCTCAAGTGGATTATTAGCCCATTTGGTCACAAAACCCGATTGCTGTGACCCAATCCTTCTCCCTAGTCACGTGAAACGTCGGGACCCCAAGTTGTAGTTGCTTGTTCGAGGTGACTACTCTTAGTGAAAACGTCATTGCTTTTTTTTCAAAACCTCCTCATCCTCTTCTTCCTTGCGATCCCTTTTCCTCTTGCTTATGAAAGATCCTTGATCATGGTGTCTCCTTTTTGCTTGTCTTGTTGAATACCTGTTTTCTCCGAGTTTGATTAGGCAATGGGCAAAGTTATCGCTGACTCTGCCTTCTTCAAATCACTGGTTATTAAATTAATTCCCCCAAGGATGTCAATAATTTCCATAATCCTCAGTTTCATGGTATTTACTTGTATGAAGCCCTTCTTTCTGTTGCATTCTAATTGATCTCATGTCCTGCCTTTGCGATGCGTTCCTCTATATCTGATCTTTCCGTATCCATTTTCCTGCTGAGCCTTTGATGTTCCTTGATTTGTATGCCGATTTTTCTCCCAGTTTCTCCAATGTATTTCTGTTCGTACGCGCCGCATGCTATGCAGCTAACTCCCGAGCAATCCAATTTGTCTATCCTCTCATGCTGCGTGGGTAGACTTGTGAAGAGTTTCCACGGTACGACTCTGGAAATAATCATGCATACCATGGACTCCGGACTAGGTGTGTTCCTCTAGGTATTCCTGCCATTATGAACAAGCTGCGAAAACAAGATCAAACAACTTCTATATAACGAAAGGAGACCACGTCCAAAAAAAAGGCCACACCATCCTGGCCTTCATACCTTCGATAAATACTGTTTCGGTTTACGGTGTGATCATTTTATGAATTTTTTTCCAACCAACATTACACTTGAAATATAAAGTCATTTCACAATAAATCACCAAGAAATTATTCGGAACCCAGTTTTCCTTTGTTTTCAACTTGGTCACCGATGAGTGCACACGATGAAATTAACTTTGGTATCAAAACAGCTCGGGTGGACTCCAAATAATGAGATTAATGTGTCCTCCATCACTTACCACAATTTTTTCTTTAATTCACAAGAATTGGAAATATGTATCAATCTCAATCTAAAAAGTATTTTAGAAGCACTAGAAGACAGCCTAACTTGAGCATTGGTCCACAATGCTGCTACGTATCTGACATTTATTAACAGACATAAGCATTATTCGAAGACTTCACCTTAACATGAGAAAATACAAAACTAGTTA